ATTTCTACCATTGGTGTGCTTACCAACAAGAAAATAATGTTCGATTTTACGATAAAGTTTTCAAAACTAATTTGGAAATATCCAAAAATGGAGTCGTTCAAAGTAATTCTGGAGTACTCTAATGTATTTTGGAAGTGTTCCAATATATTTTAGGTTAGGTTAGGATAGGTTAGGTAAGGTTAGGTTAGGTTAGGTTAGGTTAGGATAGGTTAGGTTAGGTTAGGTAATGTTAGGTTAGGTTAGGTTAGGTTAGGTTAGGTAAGGTTAGGTTAGGTTAGGTTAGGATAAGTTAGGTTAGGTTAGGTTAGGTTAGGTTAGGTTAGGTTAGGTTAGGTAAGGTTAGGTTGGGGTAGGTTAGGATAGGTTAGGTAAGGTTAGGTAAGGTTAGGCTAGGTTAGGTTAGGTTAGGATAGGTTAGGTTAGGTAAGGTTGGGTTAGGTTGGGTTAGGTTAGGTTAGGTTAGGTTAGGTTAGGTTAGGTAAGGTTAGGTAAGGTTAGGTTAGGTTAGGTTAGGTTAGGTTAGGTTAGGTTAAGTTAGGTTGGGTTAAGGTTAGGGTAGGTTAGGTTAAGTTAGGTTGGGTTAAGGTTAGGGTAGGTTAGGTAGGTTAGGTTAGGATAGGTTAGGTGTGTGTGTGTGTGTGTGTGTGTGTGTGTGTGTGTGTGTGTGTGTGTGTGTGTGTGTGTGTGTGTGTGTGTGTGTGTGTTAGGTGTTCATAGAGTTTTGTGAATATCTTGATTATAGTGATTTTAGTGGATTTGAGATGCATTTATGGATGTGAAATGTGATTTTTGTGTGTGTTCTGAAGAGGTGTGTTGGGAGATGGGTGTGATGGCGAGGGATATGGGGAGGGTTGTAATTAGAAATATGGGGAGATTTTACTGAAAATAAAAGGTAATGTGTGAATATTTTAAAAAGAAATTATAGAAATGAAAAGTTATGATATATTGGAAAAGAATGGAGGGTGTTGAAACATGTCGCAATAGTTGGGTAGTTGATGCGAGTATAATATTAATTTATGTGGATACAAGGAGATGGGTATGGAGAGGATTTTATTAGAATTTTAGTACTGTAGGGAGGAATGTGTATTACTTTTAAGATTCAGTAAAAAGAAGGGGGGAAAAAAAATGTGAATAAATTGGTAATTGATGAGGGTTGTGGGTAATGTAGTCGAATTAGAGATACCGAAAAAGATGATATAAGTGGGTTGTTTTTGTGACTTTTTTCTGATGTACTGTGTCCCCTTATTAACTTTAATGAACTAAAAGGGTTAAAACGAGAAAAAAAAATGTGGGATGTGGGTGATGTGGGGTGTTGTGACTTTTCTGATGAAATTAGTTGAAACGAGAAAAAATTGTGGGTGAAGTGGGTTGTGGGTGTTGTGCCTTTTTCTGATGAAATTAGTTAAAACGAGAAAAAATTGTGGGTTGTGGGGTGTTGTGGGTTGTGGGTGTTAGGTGTCATAGAGTTTTTTTTGTGAAAATCTTGGTTACAGTGATGACATTAGTTAAAACGAGTAAAATTTGTTGGTAATTGATGAGGGTAGTGTAGTCGAATTAGAGTTACCGAAAAAAAGATGATATAAGTGGGTTGTGATGAAATTAGTTTAAAAACGATATTCAAAGGTGTTTTGAAGGTGTTCAAGGGTGTTTATGTGAGTATTCAAATGATTTATGAGAGTGTTTTGGGGATGTTCAAAGTAAAGTGTTTGAGTTAGTTTTTGTGACTTTTTTTTCTGATGTATTGTGTCCCCTTAATAACTTCAATGAACTAAAAGGGTAAAAACGAGAAAATGCCTAGTCTGGAGACTGAGGGATGAGTTGTAATTTAATGAAATGTGTAAGTGCAGATAAATTAGAGATGTCAAATCTTATTTGGGAGTACTCAAATAGTGTTTTGGAAATGTTCAAAGGTGTTCAAAGGTGTTTTGAGTGTGTTCAAATGTTGTTTTTTGAAGGTGATCAAGGGTGTTTTGAAGGTGTTCAAGGGTGTTTTGAAGGTGTTCAAAGGTGTTTTGAGGTTATTCAAAGGCGTTTTGAGTGTGTTCAAATGTTGTTTTTTGAAGGTGATCAAGAGTGTTTTGATTGAATTCAGCGTGTTTTAGTAGTATTCAGTGGTGTAATTGGGAGTACTCAAATAGTGTTTTGGAAATGTTCAAAGGTGTTCAAAGGTGTTTTTGAGTGTGTTCAAATGTTGTTTTTTGAAGGTGATCAAGGGTGTTTTGAAGGTGTTCAAGGGTGTTTTGAAGGTGTTCAAAGGTGTTTTGAGGTTATTCAAAGGTGTTTTGAGTGTGTTCAAATGTTGTTTTTTGAAGGTGATCAAGGGTGTTTTGAAGGTGTTCAAGGGTGTTTTGATTGAATTCAGCATGTTTTAGTAGTATTCAGTGGTGTAATTGGGAGTACTCAAATAGTGTTTTGGAAATGTTCAAAGGTGTTCAAAGGTGTTTGAGTGTGTTTAAATGTTGTTTTTTGTAGGTGATCAAGGGTGTTTTGATTGAATTCAGCGTGTTTTAGTAGTATTCAGTGGTGTAATTGGGAGTACTCAAATAGTGTTTTGGAAATGTTCAAAGGTGTTCAAAGGTGTTTTGAGTGTGTTCAAATGTTGTTTTTTGAAGGTGATCAAGGGTGTTTTGATTGAATTCAGTGTGTTTTAGTAGTATTCAGTGGTGTAATTGGGAGTACTCAAATAGTGTTTTGGAAATGTTCAAAGGTGTTCAAAGGTGTTTTGAGTGTGTTCAAATGTTGTTTTTTGAAGGTGTTCAAAGGTGTTTTGAAGGCGGGCGCGCGGCGCGACGGGGGGGTCGCAAAGGGGGGTCGCAAAGGGGGGTCAAGAGTGGACTCGAGGGCGAGGTCAAGGTCATTAGCACATAGGTGTGAAAAGGGGATACGTGTCCAGAAGGGTCATTATCATAGGGTCAAGGTCATTAGCACATAGGTGTGAAAAGGCGGCATCCTTTGAAGGGGCCCCCAGTGGAAGGCCTAAACCGGAAGGGTGCGCTCAGCCGCATGCCTAAACCGGAAGGGTGCGCTCAGCCGCATGCCTTTTCCAGAAGGGTGTGCTCAGCCGCACCCCCTAAACCAGAAGGGTGCCCCCTGTAGAAATTATGACTACTCATATATATATATATAATATATATATATATTATATAAATTATATATATTATATATATAATATATATATATATATATATATATTATATATATATTATATATATATATATATATGTAATATATATATATATATATATATATATATATATATATATATATATATATATATATATATTATTATATATATATATTAATATATATATTTATATATAATTTATATATATATATATATTTTATATATATTTATATATATTATATATATATATATATATATATATATATATATATATATATATATATTATATATATAATATATATATATATAGATATATAATATATATATATATATAAATATATATATAAAATATATATACATATATATATATGCAATAAGATCACATGTAAACAGGTGATTTCAGAATATGCAAGACAAGCACTGTGAAAGAATATAGAAATTCCAAGTGCTTTCGTGACTACTCACATTATAAAGGAACAATAAAAGTAATGCATCAATGAAGGCACATAAAGGGTCTAGACCACTCCCCACTATCACATCCCACAACAAAACAAAACCTGACATGCGACGCGTAAGAAAGAGAACACTGCAGCAGGCCTGCTGGCCCAACTAGACAGATCGTTCACACTACCCATGAACAAACTATTCACCCCAAAAATTAAGAATTTTTAAATTTATTATTTGTCCAATGTATTATTAAATTCTTCCCAAATTCTATTAATTATAAATGGATCTAATTTATGTAAACCAAAGGAAATATTCATATTATTGTCAAAAGTGCTTTTTATGAAACAAGATTCAATTATATTCCTGTCGACCATGGGCTTGCTTGATACAACTTTCTCAACTTTTTGAAAGTCAATTATGTGGTTAAAATCTCTCACATGAGCAAATAGAGCATTGGAATCTTGTCCAGTTCTAATGCTATATTTATGTTGTTTTAATCTAAGTTCGAGACTTTTACCAGTCTGACTGTAATAAACTTTATACCAAATTTTACAAGGAATCTTATAGACACGTCCGTCAGTATTTTTCGGGGAATTCTTCATCAGAAATTTTTTTACTGTATCAACAGTTTTAAATACAACTTTGATATTAAAAGTCTTAAGAAAAGAAGGCAAATCAACCAAGTTTTCATGGTAAGGGAGAACCAACATATTTTTAGTTGAATAAGGCTGGTTGTCCCTTTTTTTGATTGTAAAAAGTATTTCTATCAATTTTAAAAGATTTATCAAGTACCTTACTTGCGTATTTCAGATCATTAGCTATTTCATAAATTTTGGATATTTCCTCATGTATAAACTTTGAAAAATTTTCTGATTTATCCACTGATGAAATTAATATTAGTAAGGGAATGGTATTTAGCTCTATGTTAAAACAAAACATTCCCAGTTGCCCTCAAAGATTCTTTAAGTCTTATGATACACTTATTAACAACAAAAAATTGCTCCTTACTAACTGAGATAAAATAAATGCAACAGTAATTATGAAAGAAAGTGATTACCAAGAAAAAATGAATGGAGGTTCAACCTTCAATTTTTTTTTTTTTTGAATGGATGCTCCACCCTTCCATTATTTGGGACTCCAGTTTTCTTATACTTTTTTTTACCACCCTGACCCCCTCCCCCTGACCCCAACCTCTGGCCCTTGTCCCCTAACTCCCGCCCCCAGACCCCCTTAATTCTCGCCCCTGACTCTGCTTCCTGTCCTGTAGAAGCCAATGGGGAATTGACAGATTTTCTGAGAGTGTTTGCATCGTTTTTATTTTTTTAGATGTGTTTTTTTTTTAATTTTTGTGGTCTCCAATTCCTCGGATCAAGATTTACTTCTATTGTTTTAATTCTGGCAGGGTTTTCGAATTTTTCACGAGGGTTACCCTAAGATCAAGCTCCAGCTCCAGACATTCAACATTTACTCCAAATAGTGTATTGAGGACTCCAGCAACTGGACCCATACATTTTCGAGTTATTTTTTTTGCTTGTAAACACATTCAGTCAATGGTAATACGTGTGAGAGGTAAACATTGACACTCAGATGGTAAACACAGAGGTAAGCAATACAAGCAAATTGAATTAAGCAGCCTTGTTTCAAAAAATTCTATGTATAGTTTATTAAGAACAGGTGAAAGAGGATTTGCCTTTGCCATACAAAGCTTCTGAGTGCAAAACTTATCATTAATTAAATACCAATTTTTCATCAACAATGCAAAGTTTAATAATTTTAATGATAGTAGGAACTGGAATGGTAAATCATAATTAACGAGTTATGGTCCTGAACTGGCTCTTGCTAGGACAGTCTATGATATGTGCAGGCAATCCATTCCACATCTTTGTATGTGATACTTTTATTAGGTCAAGGACACCAGTGGAAATAAACTACTTGGTTTCACTTTTTGTGGGTTATTCTATGTATGATATATTAACCTAGAAGTCACAAACAGATCTTTTTGTGACGTGAAGTCCACTGTGTCTGTGAAACGTTGTCAATATTTAGCTATATTTGTGTATTTATTCATTTAGTCGGAATTATGTGTATCATAACGCTCCATTTGCTACAACATCTGAAGTTACCCCACAAACGCTGATTCAGCACCCACCTACGTTCTCTTAGCACTACCACTAGAGCCAATTACAATCCACCTGCATTGCTTGAAAAACCACCACAAGAGCTAATCACCACTCACCTACATTACCGTAGCAACACCCGAGAGCTAATTGCCACCCAAGTACTTCACATGAACACCTCCCGAGAGCTAATCACCACTAACTTGCATTACCTTTACACTACCACAAGTACCAATAACTACCCACCTGCACTAACTTCTTTACAAACACCCTGACGACCATAGTCTGGGTGGACACAGCACATGTCCATATACAGCACTCGCTTCACTGTTGGGTCCTGGAACAAGTCGACACGACTCTTCGTAGTATTAAGTATCCGAGCCATTGTCACCTGTAGATGTAATATAACACTGTTTATATTGTAAACTTGTGATCATAATGTTTTATTAGCAATATTATGACAACAGTAATACTTAACTAAAATTGATATGTTAATAACATTTTGATAAAGATCTAAAATTTAGAATAAAATACTGACAATAATTTGAGGAAAATTTATTGAAAATATGGGAACAAATTATAGTGACAATAAACACAAAAGCTAAATATAATGTTTACAATCCAGGAATGACAGTACCACAACACCTGAGTGACACCTGAGTGATAGTACCACAAACCCTGAGTGAAAGTACCACAACACCTGAGTGACAGTACCTCAACACCTGAGTGACAGTACCACAACACCTGAGTGACAGTACCTCAACACCTGAGTGACAGTACCTCAACACCTGAGTGAAAGTACCACAACACCTGAGTGACAGTACTGCAACACCTGAGTGACAGTACCACAACACCTGAGTGACAGTACCACAACACCTGAGTGATAGTACACAACACCTGAGTGAAAGTACCACAACACCTGAGTGACAGTACTGCAACACCTGAGTGACAGTACCACAACACCTGAGTGACAGTACCACAACACCTGAGTGACAGTACTGCAACACCTGAGTGACAGTACCACAACACCTGAGTGACAGTACCACAACACCTGAGTGACAGCACCACAACACCTGAGTGACAGTACCGCAACACCTGAGTGACAGTACCACAACACCTGAGTGACAGTACTGCAACACCTGAGTGACAGTACCACAACACCTGAGTGACAGTACCACAACACCTGAGTGACAGCACCACAACACCTGAGTGACAGTACCGCACCACCTGAGTGACAGTACCACAACACCTGAGTGACAGTACCACAACACCTGAGTGACAGCACCACAACACCTGAGTGACAGTACTGCAACACCTGAGTGACAGTACGCACACCTGAGTGACAGTACCACAACACCTGAGTGACAGTACCGCACCACCTGAGTGACAGTACCACAACACCTGAGTGACAGCACCACAACACCTGAGTGACAGTACTGCAACACCTGAGTGACAGTACCACAACACCTGAGTGACAGTACCACAACACCTGAGTGACAGTACTGCAACACCTGAGTGACAGCACCACAACACCTGAGTGACAGTACCACAACACCTGAGTGACAGCACCACAACACCTGAGTGACAGTACTGCAACACCTGAGTGACAGTACCGCAGCACCTGAGTGACAGTACCACAACACCTGAGTGACAGTACCACAACACCTGAGTGACAGCACCACAACACCTGAGTGACAGTACCTGCACACCTGAGTGACAGTACCGCAACACCTGAGTGACAGTACCACAACACCTGAGTGACAGTACGCACCACCTGAGTGACAGTACCACAACACCTGAGTGACAGCACCACAACACTGAGTGACAGTACTGCAACACCTGAGTGACAGTACTACAACACCTGAGTGACAGTACCACAGCACCTGAGTGACAGTACCACAACACCTGAGTGACAGTACCGCACCACCTGAGTGACAGCACCACAACACCTGAGTGACAGTACTACAACACCTGAGTGACAGTACCACACATGAGTGACAGTACCCAACACCTGGAGTGACATACCCACAACACCTGAGTGACAGCACCAAACACCTGAGTGACAGTACTGCAACACCTGAGTGACAGTACGCAGCACCTGGAGTGACAGTACTGACAACACCTAGGACAGTACTGCAACACTGAGTGACAGTACCGCACCACCTGAGTGACAGTACACAACACCTAGTGACAGTCACCACAAACTGAGTGACAGTACTGAACACTTGAGTGACAGTACCACAACACTTGAGTGACAGTACTACAACACCTGAGTGACAGTACTACAACACCTGAGTGACAGTTACTACAACACCTGAGTGACAGTACTACAAATGAATGACAGTGACGCAGCACTAATGAACAGTACACATGGGTACATCTCTCTGGGGAAGGCTGGTAGCACTTGCAAACTTGATTGAGAGGGCCATTGCTGAAATGCCTACGATTTTAAATTGATAGAAGATAGAGGTATGGGTGTGTGTGGGAAACAGGCAGGTTGCAACACTAGGGTTGAAAACAGTAAATGTATAAAGACATTCATCATGAAGTTATAAATAAAGACAATAGATCAGGTCAGCGAACAAAGGGGGACAGCAGAGAGCAGCAAAGAACTAGCTCTCTTAAGGTTTACTAAACTAATAGCAGGAGTGTAAGAAATAAGATAGATGAGCTAAGATTAATTGCAAGTGCAGGAAATAGATATTATTGCTATAACAGAAACCTGGCTCAATCTGAAAGATAGAGAGATGCCGTCTGAATGCCATATACAAGGCTATAAATTATTCCACACTGACAGGGTCTACAGGAGGGGTGGTGGAGTAGCAATGTATGTCAGAGACAATTTAAATTGTTGTGTTAGACAAGACATAAAATTAGAAGCGTCAGCCACTGAATCTGTTGGGTTACAGCTTCTCGTGGGCCGTGAAAAACTAATTTTGGGTGTGATTTACAGGGCCCCAAATCTTGATAGGGAGTGCAGTAAACTTCTATGGGACGAAATCCGTAAGGCATCTACCTACGAAAATGTTGTACTAATGGGAGATTTCAACTATTGAGAAACTGACTAGAGCAATTTGAAAGGAAATTTAGAGTCAGGTGGCTTTCTTGATGCGATTCAGGATTTTTTTTTTAAACAGTTAGTGACAGAACCAACTAGACGAAATAACCTATTTGACTTGGTTCATGCCAGCAAGGAAACACTAATTAATAATCTTGAAGTTAATGATGAGCTTGGGGAAAGCGATCACAAATCGCTCAGTTTTAATATATCATGGAATTCCCCTAATAATGGCAATCAAGTCTCTGCCCCTGACTTCCACTTGGATGATTTCATAGGACTGAAAAATTACTTGGGTGGGCTGAACTGGAATGACCTGACTGTGGGTCATGTAGCTTGTGATGATTGCCGATACGACGTTTTCCAGGGCAAAGTTCTAGCTGCTAAGAAAATTTTTGTTCCAAATAGTAAAATCAGATCAAACAAAAATGATCCTAAATGGATGAACAATAGAATAAAACATCAAATTGGTCAAAACATAGGCATATGTGGGCAAAATCAAAAGAGGAGATGGGCAATTAAGAAATCAATATATTCAGTTATAGAGAGAAATAAAAAAGGGAATAAGAAAAGCAAAAAGAGATTATGAGGTTAAACTTGCAAGAGAATCGAAGACTAACCCAAAAGGAGTCTTTCAGGTATACAGAAGTAAGATCAGGGACAAGATAGGCCTACTCAAAAGTTACTCAGGTCAGCTCACGGACAGTGATATCGGAAATGTGTAGAATTTTTAACACACATTTTCTCTCAGTTTTTGCACAGGAAGATACTAGTGATATTCCAGAAATAATAAATTATGTAGAACAGGACGATAATAAACTGTGCACGATTAGGGTCACAAGTGACATGGTCCTTGCACAAATAGATAAATTAAAATGTAACAAATCCACAGGCACTGATGAACTGTATGCAAGGGTTCTATAGAATGTGAAGAGGAGCTTAGCAAACCTTTGGCTAATCTTTTCAGTATATCACTACAAACTGGCATGGTGCCAAATAAGTGGGAAATGGCTAGTGCGATAACTATTTTCAAAGCAGGTAACAGGTCCTTAACTTCGAACTATAGATCAATAAGGCTAACCTTCATAGTGGGAAAATTTATGGAATCAATAATTGCCGAGGCTGTTTGTAGCCACCTTGAAATGCATAAATTAATCAATGAATCTCAGCATGGTTTTACAAAGGGGCGTTCCTGTATTACGAATTTATTAATTTTTTTCGCTAAAGTATTTGAGGAGGTAGATCATGGTAATGAATATGATATTGTGTATATGGACTTCAGTAAGGCTTTTGACTAGGTCCCACGTAAGAGACTATTGAGGAAAATTAAGGCACACTGAAAAGGAGGAGAAATTTTTTCCTGGATAGAGGCATGGTTAACAAATAGACAGCAGAGAATTTGCATAAATGGGGAGAAATCAGAATGGGGAAGCGTCACTAGCGGTGTTCCACACGGGTCAGTGTTGGGCCCCCTGTTGTATACAATCTACGTAAACGACATAGATGAGGGCATAAAGAGCGACATAAGCAAGTTTGCCAATGACACCAAGATAGGCCGTCGAATTCATTCTGACGAGGACATTAAAGCACTCCAGGAAGATTTGAATAGATTGATGCAGTGGTCGGAGAAGTGTCAGATTCAGTTTAATATAGACAAATGCAAATTTCTAAATGTTGGACAGGACAATAACCATGCCACGTATAAACTAAATAATGTAGATCTTAATAATACGGATTGCGAAAAAGATTTGGAAGTTCTGGTTAGCAGTAATCTGAAACGAAGACGACAGTGCATAAGTGTTCACAATAAAGCTAACAGAATCCTTGGCTTCATATCAAAAAGCATAAATAACAGAAGTCCTCAGGTTGTTCTTCAACTCTATATATCCTTGGTTAGGCCTCATTTAGTTTATGCTGCATAGTTTTGGTCACGGTATTACAGAATGGATATAAATGCTCTGGTGACGTGTACTTAGCTCAGTGGAGACGTGTTAGCTCAGTGGTGACGTGTACTTAGCTCTGTGAAGACCTGTTTGTTTGCTCTGAATCTGAAAAAGGAAGCCCTCTCTTGAGCAACTTTAACAGCAGCTGAAAGAAGAGCTTAGGATTGCTAAACAGAAGATACGATGATTAACGGAGGAGAACAACAGGATTCGTAGTAATCCTCCTGTTGTGAGTCCCCAGGTTAAGAGGGGAGCTTGGTCCGTGGCCGGGCAACATGGAACCAAGCTGAGGATCAAGAAGACTGTTGGAGAGCCAGAAACAACAAGAAACCAGAAGACTACTTTGGAAACTTGCAACCCATTTTCGGTGCTACCTGACGAATGTGGGTG